AGTAGTAATCTAAAATTGGTGATCGGCTAGAAAAATTGATCTTTATTTAAAGTTAACTTAATATAATCTACATTACCATTTAAGCTTCATAAGTTAATAGAGCTATGGGAAATACTAAAAAAAGTACGTATTTATGGATTTTATAATATTGTAAAATAATGTAAATAAAAAATAAGTTGTCAAAAAGAAAAACTACAAAATTGCAATTGTTTTAAGAAACAATAAATTTCTTAGCTTTAATGAATCATCCTGTAAAACTTTCCCAACTACATTCTACAATGTACAGACATTTTTTTTTATTACATTTGTAATATTTTAACTTAAGTGTTAAGGGATCATATGCCACAAGTAAATATATATAAGCTCTCTAGTTCAATCACATTTTAAAATAACTATACCATTCAATATTATCTCTTACACCATAAAACCTATTTCCCCATTGCAAATGACTAGTTTTCCTGCGTTGTTAGTTTTATCAACTTGATCATATTTATCTTATAGGGGTTTTTATAAAGGTACTCCACTCCGTTAAAAGTTAAACAGTTAACGTCAATGTACTTTAACATGAGCAAACAAACGCAATTCAATTTAATAAATAACATTTAATTGAAATGTAACGCTTTACCAGTAAAGGTAGGAAAATATATTTTTAAATAATTACACTATAAATTCCATACACGAGTTATTTATTTAATTATTTTTATAAATAGTTTAGCTTAAGTCTTGAGCCATAAGCAATAATTACAAGCACTAAGTTTTATAATTTAAATTTAAGTAATTGTCGGTTAGTGTTGTCGTATACACACTTTTGTACACGAAACGTTTAAAATACACACACTGTAAATTAATTTTCTTTTAACTTTTTACCCGATAGCTTAGGCACCTCTAATTAGTGATACAGAAAAGGGGCAGAGATTTAGTCGTTGCTTACGGTTTGATTCAGCCTCAGGGTGTGTTCCATCCAAACGTTATGCCTCTGATTATATATAGCTAACGCCTTAGAGCAATTATATTACTAAGCAGCTAACTGCAATAATTGGGTTACTATCCTGACGCAAACACTAACACCTAGCTTGAATCCAGAGCCGTATTTTAGCTTTTTTAGGAGCTTTTTTAGGCTGCCTTTACCGTAGTGCACTTATTATTTTAAGGTCATTAGTTTATTATACCTTGGTGAGATGAATAAGGTAACACTATTTAACTAGTAAAGAAAATTAAACTCAAAAGTACACACAAAAATATATGAATGTTCAAAAAAATTACCAAATAAAAACCGAATAATAGTAAAAACACGCGAAATACTCCCTACGTAACAAACGGTCGTGCGATTTGCGCGGCTTTAAATAATAGAAATAATTATGCTTTTCACTGTAATAATAACTTTACCGTTTGCCATTTGGCCTAAGTTTATACTGTTTGGTTTCATAATTGTATCATTTCTCGCTCCTACTACAGTTTAATCATTAAGACACTTAATAATTAGGAAAATCGAGCACATTTTTTAAGAGCTACAACTTATCTACGAGTTTATAAAATGCGTGGTGATTTAATGATTTTTATTTAATTAATATTGTTTTTTTTAAAGTACACTGTGGCGTGTACACTAATATTATTATATACAACCTAGACTCCTCTATTAAACACAAAATAGTTAAATAAGGTTATTGATTTAATAAAGTGCAGGAGAACTCGCTCTTTATTACGCTACTACTGGTTCAATTGTGGTAATTTAAAAAGTATTGTTTTTTATATAAAATTGAAAGATAAAAAGTATTTTTAAAAAAACACTATAAACATTTGATTGATGTTCTAAACGTCTAAAACTCCTTAGACGGGATCACATCAATAAAATACATATAAAATATGATATAACCAAGATGTTGCAAAAAATAGGTTACTTTGATGTTGCTTACATTGTATTTAACCCCAACTTTTTGACGTGTTAATAAACTGCTCATCAATAGTAAGTACATTGCAACAATGTACCCACAAATATAACTTACTAAAAATATATTATTTATAATAGATTTCAATAAAAACAAGATATTAATGCTTAATGCTAGTCTCGTAAAAACGTCATTACACATTAATTAAAATGCAGCTACTACTATGTAGTAACTAATTAAAACGAACGTTATCAGGTCACGAACAATGCATTTTAGTTTTAATTTTATTGTAATATTTACAAATATTATTTTCTTTTTGTGTTGTTTTATTTTACATTATTACGTATTTATACATTATTTAGTAAAACGCAATTTGGTTATGTGTAAAGGACAAATGAACTCACAAGACAACTTATGTAAGTACATTGACGTAATAGTAAAATCTAAGGGAAATTAAAATGTATATAAGGCGTGTTTCAAATGATGGCAAATGTGCTTCAAACTCCTAAGTTACACGGTCATGTAACACCAAACCGCGTGGGACGACTTGTATCCACGATTACCATAATACACAAATAGACTATGTCGACTTTAAGCTTTGCGGTCATTATCCTACATTATAATGCAGTACAATAGAATATATTATCATATATATATGACATCTACATATAGATAGGCAAGATGATCAATTAAACATAAGACATTCATTTTATCCAAAAGTAATATCTGCAGTTTTGTAGTTTTGGTTTATGTTATTTTACAATATAAGAAAATCTCCAAATTATATTCATCGTATTCGGTCAGTTTCAGAGAACTGCCAACTTATCTTAATTGCTATTGTATATTTTATAAACTTTTTTAATAAGAATCATTTACTGAAAATAGTAGTAGTAGGCGAGGTAGTGGTAATTAAGTAATGCGCACATTTTAATTATATAATTTTTAGTTTAAGGGTTGATACGATTAGGATTGACCGTCTGCCTTTAAAATGTATTGTCATAGTTAAAGTGTAATTTTTCCTTTTCTTTGGGTTTTTCCTTAATAAAAAAACATTTTAATGAAATGAAATAAATTTTATGTTATTTTTTTGGTTTGTCAACGTTTATCGATAGTACTATGTTTAAAAAAATATTCCATACAAATTTGGAATTACGAGTAATTCGACAATTTTAAAAAAAAATGTATACGGTATCGTAATTTTAAATTGAAAAATATGTACATTTTTTGGGTGTTTTTCTTGATTTTGAAGAGGAAGAGATTAATATTTTTAATATTTGGCCTACAAAAATATTTTATAGATACCACTTCTGATCTATAGAGTTGCTACACAAAAAAATCGGTTCAGCGGTAAAAGATATCGTGGGTTCAGATACAAAAACAAAAAAATAATAATAACACATCATTGTAAAAACATGACCTTTTAATTTTCGCATCCAAACTAAAAGTTAAATAGATCTTCTGTATATAATATAGTAAACATTAATATGATTGTTTAAGAAATAGACCATTTCAGTATCTGGAGAAAGTACAATATAGTGAAAATAAAAACGGGATCTTTAATTTGCACGCGTATTTTTATAAAATTAAAAAACTAATTTTTTTCATGTTTAACGTCTCTAAGACTTATGGCTCAAACAGTGTTCTTATTTAATGTCTTGAAAGAGCTAGTTACCAATTTAACGCTGACCGAACAAACTTGGGTCCTAGGAATGGGTGGATATTTCTTTTTCTAGACAGTTGCACGCCTTGTCAAAAAAAATGACAGCTTTCAAATGCCGAATCAGCAACAGTGCGTAACAGCATTGACACTTAACCCACTCGACTAAACAGTCATCTTAATACTAATAAAATATATCATCACTAATGCCATAGCTTACAACATTTTTGGAATTTGTAACCATGTTGTTTTTGTTGAAAACCATTATAGCTATCAGAATAGAGTGTACAATATAATACAATATAGTATACACAAGTACAATTAGTTCATAAAAAAAAACCTTCAGACAGGAACTAAAATATAATTGATTTAAGAGAACACATCAGACTATTGTAAAAATATAAGGGATAGTAAACAGAATGGCATAAATGCACTTTGAACCTGTTTTTTTAAAAATATTTTGTTATTGATATATAATATAATGTACCTAACGACATTTCGTAAAAAACATAATTAATAGTCTTAAGATTGTAAGTAACAAGAGCTTAAATGGGGCTTTTATTTTTATGTCGTGCTTCAGTTAATTAAAGTATCAAAACCTACAACTTAAGGGTTTATTTATGCGTAGTTAAGCGCAATAAATTGTAGTATTTATTTGGTCCTTCAAAATAATAATTAATAACAAAAAAAAATGTTTTTAAACATGTACAAAATGCATTATTATGTTTAAAAATATATTACCTAGACTACATAAAAGCATTTAAATAATATACAACTGTACCTACTTGTATTTAAATAACTTTTAACGAAACATTAAAATACGTATATACAGTTACCTCTAAAATAATTGTTTACTACAATGTTGGTTTTACAATAATATTATGTTTTGGTCTTCATGTTTATGTTAACCTTATTTTTGAACCCTTTTGATATATATACAGTATAAAATCATAATAGTTTATCATGTCTAGTTAGTTAGAAGTTTCAAAGTCGTTCTTTTATCTTTTTTTTAATAAAATAATAATTTTTCTAAAAATATTGTCTACACTTTAATATAATATTCCAAATGTTGATTTGAAATTTCCCCCTTTATTTCTGACATTTTAAATTATTTTTTAAAAAACTCAGTCCATCGATTTTAGTAACTAGCTCAAATGATAAAAGCGCAACAACGTGTAACAAAATCCTAAAATAAATGTTTAACAAAAAAGATCCTGCTCTTATAAGAAAGTAATTATTTGAAAATTATCTCGAAGGTCTCTGTTAAAAAAATATACACGATTGCTTAATGAAAGGATTGTAGAGGAGTCGTAGTCTTCAAAGTCATTTACTGGATGTTAGTACCGGATTCAACGGCCACCCTGTATAACGACACCCTCGCGCTGCCGTGCGGACAACCACGAAGCGGCACACTCGACAACAGCAACCCACCGTATAACTATGACACGTGTTGTAATCGGCGTTCGGTTAAGTCTCCTGTCGCGTCCGTAAAATAGTTCGCTGAAATCGCGTTACGAAACATTGGAATAACCACAATAACTATTTGTCCTTCTAAAAGGTAAGATACAATACATTGTCATTTAACCTTCACCGACGTCAGATACACAAAGTAATATCCAAGATGACACTACTAAGGACAACGACGTTTGAGAGCAAAGCTAATAGAAAGCCTCTGCTCTCAAGACCCTTTTTCACTAAGCCATCTATCGTGCTAATTTCTCTAATTTTATTTAAAAAATCTATAATGATACTACTTACGTTTTTACGACTAAGAGCTGTCAAGTATTTAACAAAAAGTACAAAAATATGTAAATTGAGTAAAACGCATGGAGAATCCATCCATTGAGAAAACTCTTTGTATTTTTTTAGTTGAAAACGGATCATTTTTTTTTCTATGGTTGAATCGGTCTCTGCACGATGAACTTTGTTTAAAAGGTATAGCGAATTTTTAGGAAACGTGAGAGAGAGAAGATATTTTTAATTAAAAGTTTGAAGTGGTTCTGGAGTCTGTTATGGAAGTTTTTGTAGTGGTTGTTTCCACTGTAGGTAATAGACTTGTTAAAATCGTTACGAATAGTGCCATTGGAGACATATACTTATAAAAATATCAATTATGCATTATTAAATGTGGCAATATACCAACCTATGTAATATATACCTACAATAATTTATTTTAATATAAGTTGAGGTAATAATACTAAAACATACTATTACATTTTATAGTAAAGAGGACGCTACAATACCCGCATTTCAACCGTGAAACTCGTTGAGCGAGACACAACGTTTTTTTTCTGATTGTATTCGTGATAGGTTAGGCTAACACTAATTTGTTGTAGAGTTTTTATTTTTTTTAATAACTTCAACATATTCTAAACTATTAATTTACTAAGATTTATTTTTTTAATTTCTTTTGTTTATTTACAAAAAAAGAGTGGCCAGTATTAATATGAAAAATATAAACGCTACGACACTGTTAAAGTTAAATTATATGTATTGTGAACATTTTATAAACCTGTCATTCACATTCGATTTCACCCTCATAAGTTTGTACCACGCAAGCAATCTTAATCCAGAAAATATAAAATGAAAGCCTAAGAAATGATACCCTGACAAAACAAAACTAATTACAATCTACATTAGAGTTTAAGTTTTAAATTAAGATTTTGTCCTGTTAAGCATTATTAAATTTAGTTATGTACTCACAGGCACATTTTAAGACTTTTGTCTAAGATGAAAATTCAATTTTTTAATATTCAACTTGTTTGCATAAAATAATACTTTCTTGTGGAAAATTACATTCGTGATCATCACAAAAAAAAATATTTTCCCTTCTCTTTATAAATTCTCTCGAGCGCCCTTTAAGTCTAAAACTGTAAAATATGAATAATTTGCATTATATGAAATATTATGTACACAATGCATAAAATAAAGAAAATATTTTCTTAGCTTAAGTATAACTTTCCACTTTATACAATTAAACTATTTCTATGTCCAGTAAACGTGCAAATAATTGATAAGAACTGAAGTAAAACATAAATATGTAAATATATACAAATACGACATCTGACGCCTATTAAAAACTGAAAATCATTTATGCAAACATACTTGGTTGTTATTACCCTCAATCCCAAATAAGTTGCACCAAGCCGACTTATTCTGAACGCTAAAGGAAATAGCACGAGTTATTAGCACATATTTTAAAAACAAAACATCATCGAGAAAGTTTTGTTCGATAACCTTAAGTGAAGTCATAACAATGTAAGTATTTTTAAATCATAAAACATGTTATTTATTTCAAGAATATATATCTGATTGCTTATATTATACGAAGCACTTAACTGACTAAATTTTACTATTATGTTAGTAAATATAAAGATTATTTTTACATCTGGACCTATTTCAATAAAACTATCGAACTTTCTATGTGTTATTGTTCATACTACTAAATCGAATAAACAGCGTTGTTTGTAGGCAATTTCTTTGCATCCGAGCATAATACCTACCAAAACCTTAGAAAACAATACTCGATACATTTCTTTAAGGAACTTAATGAATTAACACCTATAAAAATATCGATAATTAAGATTAAGTGTCCAACGACTATAAAGCCACACGATATATATTCGGTAGTTGTTTTTTTAAATCCCTGTTTAATCCTTAACAAATAAAATGATAAAGCTATGGACAAGATTTATAAGCGTGCCATTATATAGATAAATATGAGGGGAAGAATAAAACGATAAATATAAATTTTTAATCGCGGCGGATACAATACAAAAGGAAACAACGAATAAAAAAGTGCTTATTTCCGTTTACAGTAAATACATTATGCTTTATTTTCAACATAGTCAATATAGCTTATACAACGTGGCCGTATTATAGAGTATCGTAAATGATTTTGATGACAATACTGCTTAAAACTCTATAGGTTCATTTTTTTTTAACTGTACCATTTAAAAAACATTTGATAATGCCAATAAAAACTCACATACTTTTTTCTGAAGATATTATACGACGATATTATTATAATTTTCACTTACCATTTAGTACGAGTAAAAAGCGTTATAGCTTGTTTATGACTACCTAATATTTTACAAGTGTACTTTATATTTATGATAAACAGTAATATCATATTTATAAAATTAGTTTTCTTTTAAACCGCGATCAATGCAACTTCTATTCGAACTATAGTAACCACATTAAATCATGTTTAAAAAATACATTAAATTTTACATTTTCTATTTTATTGGTACTCTGTAAAATTGTACTTACTAAATATAAACTATTATAATCTTAAAAAGTTGATTTTTTTTAGATAGAAAAATTAAATGAACTATTTATAAGTTAGTCATAAAACCAAATAATTAAATTTACAATTAAGGGAATTAAAATCTAAGAATATATAATCAAATTCAAGTTTGCGTGAACCAGACTTTAGTTTTTAAGTATCCATATTTGATAAACTACGGAAGGAAACAAGATACCACCTCCTCAGGATGTCAACTCTCGTATCTAAAATAGGTCGTAGACTAAAAAAAATATTTGACAAACATGTCAAATTAATTTGAGAATCAAGCTACTTAAGATTATTTATATCAAGTTAGTTCACTACCGATGTTTAACATTGCGCAATATTGTGTACTCGTATGACAAAACATTTTTAAAAAAGTGTGAAGTAAAATGTTGTTAAAACGTGTGTATGTTTCGTTGAGCTCATTTATAATGTTTCCCGTTCACAATTTTCAAAAAATACAAACTATACAATTTGTCACACAATATATAAAAGTTGTCAATAACCTGTGTTATAGATAACATTTTACGCGTATACATAATAACTAAAATAATTTTTTAATCGATTTTATTAGAAATAAAACTAGTTTTCTAACATTTTTATAAATCTCTACTTAAACATGGATATAATAAGATAGTGCATTCAAACACATATGTTACCAAAATGTGATATTTTCACTAATTTTATTAACACTTGGCACTTGCAATCTAACATAAAACCCGACCATATTTACAAATATAACTATTAGGTAACCCAAAATAAATTTGGTTAATGCATTTCATAACAAAAACCCTTTTTTATGCATGCAGTTATATATTACCTGCAAGAAAACATATTAATAAAATGTAACAATACAACTTTGATATATTTATAAAAAAAAAATAACAATATTAGTCATTTAATCTTACTTATAAATAGCTGTCTAAATATTTCAAGAGTAGCAATTACATATTGTGGTACTGACAACTGTAATTTCTTTTATTATAATATGCTTTTTATGCCTCGACTTAAAATACATTTTTAAACGCTAGACCTAACCGATTACTGTATAATATATTCAGTAAAATTATCAGAATCATTTGACAATACCTAGTCCTACCAAAAGTAAAATATTTTGCCTCTTCATCTAAAAAATAAAAAAATACCATCATTATTTGGATGTATTCAAAAGTTTAAACTTCTTTAAAAATATACTACATCTTATCTTTTTGAAGGAATTATTTTTTAATCTTTTTTTCAGAGAATTTTCGTTTTAAATATTTTTTTTTTATGTTTAAGTTCTTAAAAATAAAGCTGTAAATAAGAATGACCTGAATTAACAACATAATTAAGTTACATAAATCATTAATCACAACTTGTTTTATCAAAGAAATACCATAAAGAAATATTGTACACCACTAACAACAATACATAGTAACTGGTGATTTTTAATAATATTAGAAATACGTATACTTGGGTTTTTTTGCAAAACATAATCATGTTAAAGTGTAAATGAGTTGAAACCATGATAATAATACTATAACATGAAATATTGGAATGGTCAATATTAATGTTGCGTCAAATAAAATCTGTTTTAAAAAAATATAATATATATATTGTCACTCAATTACATTTGCATAAACTATATTAAAGGGATAAACGTAGTCATTTTTTTTTTTTGACGTCCTGATCCTAAAAGACAACATTTTGGCTCCTAAGGATTGTCCAATTTCAGTCTGTAAAGGTTTTTTGGCTGCTATACTAGGTTATGTTAGAAACAAATGATTTGTTTTTTTTGTTTAAATACTGCAAAATTTCAAATTAAATTTATTCAATCACAAAAAACTAAACTTATAAGAGAAATTATTTTCTAAAATCCAGTAAAGAGGCCAACAAATCTTTATCTTTCACAAAATTAGAATTAGACAAACCAAACTATCATAATTTTGGCTTTACTCATAGAATTGAATACGTCAAAAATATAAAAATTACTCTGAAAATAAATTGACATGAAAGACATGAATTAAAACCATTTTTTCTAAAATGTTACCTATATAAAAGTGTTTAAAAACCGTCCACTTTCAATCCCCTTAGGTAAAAATAATTTAGAGTAAAACACTTTTTCCGAATTTTATAAACTTATTAAATTGTTACAAAATATTTTCTTCTTTTGCATGAGGGCCTAAAATAAACTAGTTTTGGAATTAATAAGCCCCTAGATGATTATTTTCTTGATGCAACAGTTTGTAAAACATGCTACTAAAAAAAGAAAATTAACTTTATATATT